TTCCAAAGTAATAAGTAAGTGGGGTTACTGCCATGCACTTTTATGTTAGACTTTCTGATGTTATGGCAAAATACCTGAGAAAAGCAACTGAAGTAATGAAAGAATTATTCTTGCCCTACTTCCAAAAATTATGTGCTTGGCTAGAATGAAACTTTCCAGTACATGGGTCTGTGAGGGATATTTCATATCCAAACTATAATATATTCTACCCCTAGCTCCAAAGGCTCATCACCATCTCATAACGCAAAATGCATTCAGTCCATCTCCAAGAGTCCTCAAAGTTCTAACAGTTTCAACATTGTTCAAGTCCAATGTCTCTATAGAGATACAAGGTAAACTCTTACCTGTGAACCTCTATAAAAACAAAAAGAAAGACATATCATTCCAAGATATAATAGCACTGTGTAAACAATCCTATTTTGAAAGTATGGAATGGGAGAACAGTAATGAAAGATTGGACCAAATTAAGACCCAGACACAGCAGGGCAAACACTAACTCATACAGCTCCATATTTGGCATCTGAGGCATACTATGGCATGATGTAAGCTCCAAAGAATTCAGCCAACACCATCCCTAAAGGCCTTGGCACTTCAGGTCACATGGCCTCTTCCTTGTGCTGGATCCACTCCTTGTTCACAACTTTCCTTGGCAGAGGTTCCATATCCTTGGTATCTCAAACATCTTGTGGTCTCCATTGTATCTTTGGCTTCACACGGCTTCAGAAATGACCTTCTCAGGACCTGACTATGGGAATCCTGACCACGTGACAAATTGGCCTGTTAGGCCTTCCTTTAAAATGGGTGGAAGCCTTTATGATCCCACAACTCTTGCATTATGCATGGCAGCACAACAAGCATCGCGTGATGGTTCCAAGTTCTCTGCTAGTTTCAACAGTAGCCATGTTCCCCTGGACTATAGCAGCATTGGTTTCTGAGTGCCTGGAGGGATGAACACAGGGAAACATTTCCCTATGTGGAACCTACGTAAGCTGTATACCCTTGTGGTATTTTATTCTCAATGGAAAGATTTGAAAATGAGTTAAAACCTTTACAATATTGAGGCAGCAGTGGGTGAGATATAGCCAATTCCTGAGATACCCAGAAGGTGTATTTTCTATTGTTCCAATGCAAAATACATAGTTTCTTTTGAGTGGACCTAATCTTTTAAACAGGCACACTTTCCTTGGTTCAAACTTTACACTTTTTCTTCTGGAAAAATTGCAAGATTTCAAGTCTCTCTTCTCTAATTTTTCTCAGAATTGTCACTGAAAACTTGGCCAAGTCAAGTCATGAAACCCATGCCACAGCTTGAATGCTTAGCAACCTTGAAATTGCCTGTGACAAATTAACTAGTTTGTCATCTTTAAATTCACCAGTGCTTCAGGGCATGGAGAAAATGTAGAATTCTTTGCTATGATGTAACACAAATAGAATGAGTTTCAATTCCTAATATGTTCATAAGTGTGTTTATATGTGTGTGTTTGTGTGTATGTATTTCTGAGTTTTTCATGAAAAAAAAAACTGTGATAAAATAAAACACCTGTGAGAACAGCTTAAGGAGGTAAGGATATTTTTTGGCTCACAGTTTCAGTCGATGACTGCTGACCTCATTGTTTCTGGGCCTATGGTCAGGCAGTCCATCATGGCTGCAGGGCATGATGGAACAGAACTGCTGTCCTCCTGGCAGCGAGAAAAATACAGACAGCAACAAGAAGAAGACAGGACTAAAATATTCCATTCAAAGACAAGACTTCAATGACCTACTTCCCACTACTAGGCCCCATTTCCCACAGTTCTACAATCTCCGAGTAACCTATTAACATTTGGAATCCATCAATTAAGCCAGGAATGGTTAAGACAGGCATCAGGTAGCTGAGACAAGAGCATTAACAGTTTGAGGCTGACTTAATCTGCATAATGAGACCTCATCTCAAAATTAATTAATTAACCATACTATCTAGAAACACCCAAACAGACACACCTAGAATGTGCTGTAAAACCATATCCTAGGCTAAGCTGTTCCCAATCCAATTAAGTTGACAAGATTAACTCTGTGTGTGTGTGTGTATTTGTGTGTGTACACACATATATGTACATATATGTATGTAAAATAAATTTTTGAGTATAAATAACAATTGAAAATTTTAAATCCCCACAGTGGAATATAAAGTGTTTTATAACCTCAAAAAAAAAACAAAGACTTGCTCAAATCTACTGTTGTCATCCCCTTCCATGTAAAAATAAGTCCATCAATAAAAATAAATCTTTTGGAAGTGTGTTTTCCAGAAGTTAATGTGAAGCTGTGACAAAAAAAACCCCATAGGAAGGCATATTCTTCTTCAAACTGACCACCACAATCATGGGTGTTACATCTGGACCCTGTGGTCAGCCCTGGAAGGTCCTGGACAGCATGATATCTGAATACTCCCCTCACCCTCTGCCATCTCAAGGGACTGTGGGAGTCTAAGGTCAGTGGACTGAGGTTCATAGAAGATAGGGGTCCAGGTGCTGTGAGGAACTAAGGCGAGGAGTTTGAGTTGGTAGGGAGTTGCACAGAAACAGTTTCTTCCTCTCCTCCTGTCAGCCCTGGGAGGCCCTGAGCACTAGGACAAATGTTATGTCACTTCACTTCAGCATCAGAGGTAGTGAGAGCTGAAGGCTTTGTTCTGAGGCTCTAGCTTCAGGTGAGCAGAGCAGAAAGGCCTTAGGGAGAGCTGAAAGTGGAAGGCCTTTTCTCAGATAGAAAGCCCCAAATATCTAGCCTTGCTTCTATTGTTGTCCCTGGACCACACAGGGGCTTCTAGTCACAGGAGCGTGCCCACCCCTCCCCCACCTCTCCTTCTGCTCCAGGGAATCCTGGGAATCACAGTCTGAGTCTGAGGTTTGTGGGCCGTAACCACTTCATCTTTGTGAGGTTTCCAGGTAATAGCTGAGGGTGGACAGAGGAAGACCCTCTCTCAGATAGAGGGTCTCCAGGTAATTTAGCCCTACCTCTGTTGTTACTCGTGTACCACATGGTAGCTTCTAGTCATGGAAGCGTTTGTTCCCCTCTCCCACTCCTCCTGCTGCCCCAGGAAATTCTGGGAGTCACAGTCTGGGTCTCAAAGTAGCAGAGTCCTGGGCTCTAGGAGGGACAGAGGGGAAGGTTGAGGGTAGACAGTGGAAGCCCTAATCCAGAAAGAGGGTCCCCAAGTATTTCATCCATGCCTCTGTTGTTCACCCCACACTGCCACACTGCACAGGAATATTTAGTCATAGGAGCATTTGCTCTCCTCCCCCATGTCTCTTTCTTCTTAAGGGAATCCTGAGAGTCACAGCTTTCGTCTGAGGAGACCAAGAAGCTCAGACTCCAGGAGGACTGGGAAGAGCTGAGAGTGGACAGAGGAAGCCCTTACTCAAGGTAGAGAGCCCCCAGATAACCCAGCCCTGCCTTTGTGTTGCCCCTGTACCATGGGGAGGCATTTAGTCACATGAGCACATCTTCCCCTCCTCCACCCCTCCTTCAGCCCCAGAGAATCATGGGAGTCAAAGCTTTGGTCTGAACATGGGAGAGGCCTGGTCTCTGGGAGGGGACAAGGGCAGTGCTAAAGGTGGACAGAGGAAGCTCTTCTTCCAGAGTGTCCCCAAATAATCAAGTCCTGCCTCTTTTGTCACCCCTGTACCACACAGGGACATCTAGTCACAGGAGTCTGTCCTCCCCTCCTCTACCCCTCTTGCCCCAGGATATCTTGGGATTTACAGCCCTGTTTTGAGAATAGGAGAGGTCTGGGCTTTGTGAGTGGGGTGGATAAAGGAAGTGTCCTCTCTCCCTGTTGAGGGTCCCCAAATAATCCACCCTTGCTGCTGTTGTCACTACTCTTGTCAGCTTTGGGAAACCCCTGCAAGGATGTTCACATGGATTGCATCCTGACTTCTGTCTTCCAGGCTCAGGAGGTGAAGACTTGGAGTTGCAGGAATCATCAGGACATCAGAGGGAGCCACATGTGGGCAGCAGAAGGAGGTGTCAAGGATCTTCCTAGAGTTAAGGTGAGGATAAAGGGAGCCCCTTCACCCAATCATGCAGGGCCCAAACCCCAACCTGCCCCTTCTATCAACTACGGCAAGACCTAGGAAGCATGAGGTGGACTGGTCTGGTCTCACTTCCTCTTCTGGTATCTCACAGAAATAAGGCTCTGGCTTAAGGAAAGTAGCCTCAGGTCATCAGAGGGAAAGTTTCAAATTTGTCTATTTATCGAGGTGAGGACCAAGCAGTCCCCTATCCATTGAGCCCACATTGAATTTGGTCATTTTTTACTGACAGGTGTAGCCAGATGTGAGATCCCCTCCTTGCTGCTTTTTATTCTTAAGAAGGTGGACTCTTGTTCTGAGAGTGTGCATCAGGCCAGTAGAAGGCTGGGGAACAAGCCTTGCCTGGAGAAAGTTGGGCGCCCAGGGTAAGTACAGGAAAAACATCTACTCTAGAACATTGGTGACTTCACAGAATCCACCACACCCCTGCTGTCAGGCCTAGGAGTTCAGTGTTGTCTTATATTGTGCATACTAAGGGAGGGCTGCCTCAGTGTCCCTTCATGGGGCAAAATATGAAGGTCTTGCTCTGAGGAAGTATCTGTAGGTTACAGAGCAATAAGGTTCAGGCAGGGTCAAGAACCAAGGTGAGTTGCATACCCTTAATGTGTACTAAAGATCTCACATACCCCAGAACACAGGGGAACCCACGTTGTCCTGCTACCATGGTCTAATGGCAGCTCCAGAACCTCATGCTTTCTGAGTAACTATCTTAAATCCTTCCTCAAGGGAAAGAACCACCAGAAAGACAGTAACTCTGGATGGCCCTAGAGCAGCACCCAAAGAGAAGATCAGTAATAGACCCTTGTGACAGCCACCAAGAATGCAGTTCCCAGCTGAGGCCACTCACATTCTCGCTTTCTCCCTCAGGCCTATGAGTCCTGATCACTGAGTTCCTGCCCACCCTCTTGCTTGGTGTCCTTAGGAAAATCATGATGCCTCATAGTCAGATGAGCCAGCACTTCAAGTTTCAAGGAAGCCCTCAGGCCAGGGATGGCCCAGGTCTGGTGAGTGTGCTGGTTCCTCTGTCTGAGGAGAAAGAGGCCACTGCTGACTCCTCCTTTACTCTGAATCAAGCCACCCCAAGGAAGGTGCCTGCTGCTGGGACACCAGGTTATCTCCTATCCAGAAAGCCCCTTCTTCTCCCACAGCCATGGTTTCTACTCCACAGCACCAGTTGTCAAGGATCCAGAAGACAAGGTCTGTTCCCTTCACACAACCTGGTAGGCCCCATGTCCTTCCTGCAAGATGCACAATCCTTGGTGCTCTTCAAGTATCAAATAAAGGAGCCAACAACACAGGCAGAAATGCTGAATCTTGTAGTAAGAAGTCACCAGGATTACTTCCCTGCAATCTTCGACAGAGCCTCTGAGTATATACAACTGGTCCTTGGCATTGATGTGAAGAAGGTGGACCCTACTGACCACTCTTATATCCTTGTTCCTGTGGTGGGGCTCACATATGATGGGATGCTGAGTGACACCCAGGGTTGCCCAATACAGGCCTTCTAATAATTGTTCTGGGTGTCATCTTCATGGAGGGCAATACTGCCACTGAAGAGGTAATCTGGGAGGCACTGAGTGTGATGGAGGTGTGTGCTGGGAGGGAGCACTACATCTATGGGAATCCCAGGAAGCTGGTCCCTGAAGTTTTTGTTCAGGAAGAGCACCTGGAGTACCGTCAGGTGCCTAACAGTTATCCTGTTTGTGGTGAGATCCTGTGGGACCTAAGGACCCATGGTGAAACTAGCAAGATGAAAGTCCTGGAACACTGGGCCCTGTTCAGTGAGGGTGATCCCAGGTCCTTCCCATCTGTGTATGAAGAGGCTTTGAGAGATGTGGAAGAGGGGGCAAATGAAGCATAGTCAGGGCCACTGGGAGAAGGATAAATGATATTCCATGGCCAGGAAACACTCAAGGGTCATATCCAGTAGTTTCTTCTGCCCCATGTGAAATAAGTCCCTTTGTTTGTTTTGTATTTATAAAAAGAATTAGTACATGATAAAAGCGAGAGCACACAAGGGAGGGGTGAGGATAGGTAAGACACCTAAAAACTTAGCTAGCATTTGTTGCCCTTAATGCAGAGAAACTAAAGCAGATACCTTAAAAGCAACTAGGCCAATAGGAAAAGGGGACCAGGAACTAGAGAAAAGGTTGGATCAAAAAGAATTAACCTAGAAGGTAACACCCACGCACAGGAAATTAATGTGAGTAAACTCCCTGTATAGCTATCCTTATCTCAACCAGCAAAAACACTTGTTCTTTCCTATTATTGCTTATACTCTCTCTTCAACAAAACTAGAGATAAGGGCAAAATAGTTTCTGCTGGGTATTTAGGGGGTGGGGGAGAGAGGGGGGATGGAGTGGGTGGTAAGGGAGGGGGTGGGGGCAGGGGGGAGAAATGACCCAAGCCTTGTATGTACATAATAATAAAACAATAAAAAAATAAAAAGAATTCAACGTTCTGAGTAGTGGAGCACCTGATAGGTTGAGGAGAACATGTGCATGCTGTTTTGTTTTCCTATTCTATTTGGTTGATTTCAAAGAACCTTTGATTTGTTGGAATTTTGCAAATGTCCTTCTCAACTGAAAGTTTATTTGGCTTCAGAATGGAAGTATATGAGTGTCAGTAGTCACACATTTATTGCTGTTAATGTATTTTAGGAGTGAGTCTTGCTAATTGTTCAACCAATTGGGAAACCCATGTTATTCTGTGACCTGGAACATGATAACCTGGCAGTGGTGTAGATATTTCAGTAAAACAGATGATATAAATAAATAGAGAAATCAAAAATTAATGCTTTACTTCCGGTATTCTTTTGTCTTCCATGTCTCTTTAAAATTTGTATATGTTTTATATGTCTTCCATGTCTCATTAGAATTTGTGTATGTTTTATGTGTTGACCTGAATTTACTTGGCTACTTGAGAATGTAGATAAAATTACACCAGTAAGTAAGTTTCCCAGTTTGCTGTTTGTTTTATTTTTCAAACGTGCATTGAGCATTTTAGTCAACTTTTTTAGACATGTGTTTAGAGTTCATTTTCGTTTGGACATGATAATCAGTGAATAATTAGGAATAGCATATTAAAGCATTTAGTTTCTCACAATAAAGCATTATGGAAAAATTCAAATTTTTTTGAGGCTTCTAATCTAAATGCTTAAAAATATACAGAATACACAAGCCCCTGTTCCCACCATACACATATATTGTACCAATCCTAGACTCGCGGCCTTAGTTTCCCTGCAAAGCTGTGGTTAGATCTTTAGCTAGTGAAGCATCTCCTTTTGTTAATCTGTAAGACTTTGGAGCTGGCAGCTCAAGGAATCTCACCACAGGGGATTTGCACTAAACTAGTTTGTTAACTGTGTGCTGCCTCTCAGTTTTCTGAACTTGGTAATGTATTCAGGTGTTGCCTGTATAGCAGAAGAATTCCTTAGGAACAATGCTTTCCCTTTGGAAACAGATAGTGCAAAGTGAAAAATATAGTCACATTTTGTACTAATATCATCAGCCTGTGGAATGAGATCAGCATATAGCCAGATTCTGTTCAAATACAGATGACAAGAAGCTCTGCAGTTTGTTAATTCCTCATTCCTCTTCTCATTTCTTGGTAATTTATTTCTCCATTTAAATTCTTCTAGCTTGTCTTTATCTAAACCGGTTCAGTCTCTAAGCAAATGCATATTTATTGTGGAGTGTATTTGGTGTGTCAGATCAATGCCTTATGTTTTAAAACTTAACAAAAATGTAGGTAAATTGAATCATCTCTCCCAAGGAGTAGAACACAGAATAGGGAACTTGAGAATGTATTTATACTTGTGATTTAGATTTACCTTTGCTCTTCGAAATTCATGGTTTAATACCCATTATTTGTAAAGGATCCAAGGAACTACATAATAAATGAGATTTAATGTGTGCTAGAATTTGTCAATTTGGGGGAAAACATTTCACAGAATCATGGAATATTAACACTAGTAGAGAGTTCAGAATGCATAAAATCCAACCATCTCATTTTATTTTTGAGGAAAGTGAAATGCCTAATATGGAAGAGAATTGGTCAAGATTGTGTAGCAAGCTAGTAACTGAACTGAACAAAGATTGACTCTTGGAACATTAGCATTGCCTAAAGACCCTGAATTGATTATGTATGGTGAGCTTATTATGCATAATGATGGTATAAAATACTTGTAAAGTACTTTTTATGGTTTGGGCACTTCTAAGCTTCGCACAAATTAACACACTTTGTCTTCACCACAGTCCCATAAAAAATAGGCATTTGAGTCACAGGAAGAAGTAGAGGAACACAGAGGTTATATGTTTTGATCAAAGTGATGCAGACAGAAATAGCAAATTCAGACATTCAGCTTAGGCATTCCCTGTCCACAATCTGGAGTCAATTAGTGAAAAAGCCCTGTACAATTGGGAATAAGTAAGCAGTGGCAAATGTGCAGATAACGTAATCTGTAGAGAAAAAGGAGCAAAGCTTATATGGAAAGAGATGCAGAGAACAAATGTCAAGTGGCCTTAGGGTAAAAATATGGTACGAAGAAGAGGAATTAGGAACATGCAGAAACATAAAAAGGAAGGTAAATATAGCCTAATAATTAACTATTTTCTATGAACTCTAACTTTTTTTCTTCATTTATTTCTGAGAGATTTCCCTGTGTCCTCAAAATAAATATGATTTTCCCTTGATCAAGTTGGGGTGAATTTCTGTTACTAATTCCTTGCAGCTGAAAAATCCTTCAGCTAAATAGGCATTGTCTACTTTTTCACACTGAGGACACTTTTATTTGTTTTCTAATTATAATGAAATACTTGAGGCTTAGTACTTTTAGAAACTAACAGGGTTTATTTAGCTGTGCAGTTTCAAGGGCATATCACATACACAGACTGACTTGAATTAGTGTTTCATTCCCACAGCTCATGTAGGCATTGCCACATGAAAGGCTCTCTGCAAGGGCCCTGACCTGCATGAAACTTTTACCTAGTTTCCTAGGCTTTTTTTTGAATTCTCCATAATCCTATAGCAATTTCATTCTGCATATCTACAAATCCAGCAGCACCTGGGTGCTCCTAACATCTACCTCCAGCAAAAATGGTATCTAGTCTTGATTAAACTATGGCTGTAGCCACAGAGTAGCCACAGAAAACAAGAAACAGTATTTCAATATGTTCCTGTGTACTGAGCCTGAGAAGGGTGACCTGTGACTTTTCTCTGAAGCAATTTTGCCTGAGAAGACCTCGGCACCTATGATAGGAGAGAGTCTCATGGATTTCTAAGACGTTTTCTGGGTCTGTATTCATGGTATTGGCAATAAACATACTGGTTAATCCTTTTAGTAAGTGGTAGTTTGGCCATAACCTTACAAGTTTTTCTTTTGCTCCTTCCCTAATCAGTGTTTGTAGTTTGTAAAACATTGTATTCATTTTTTTTGGTTTTGAATCATGCTAAAAGCAATCAAACTACCTACATAGTCCCTGCTATAATTTGTTTAGAAATTTTTTCTGGCATTTAAGAAAAAATCATTCTTAAATTTGGTCTTCCATTAAGTTCTAGGTCAAGTAGACAGTTCAATCAAGTTATTAGCAACTGTGTTACATGGTGGCCTTTATTCCAATTTTCAGTGGTATTCTCATTTCCATTTTAGACTATTCCCCTACTCTGTCTTGTTTCCCTTCCAGCATCACCTGTAATGTTATGCATACTACTTTCTAGGATTTGTTTTATGTGCTCCTTAAAATCTCACATACTCTGTCCATCACCCTGTCCCAAATCACTTCCACATTTTCAGGTCTTTGTTATAAGTAACAGTCTCATTTCTCAATATCAACTTACTGTATTAATTGACCATGTAAGTTATATGGTATAAAAGTTTATTTTTTCACAATTCTAGCTAAAGTTTTGTGTTCACATCTGATGATGCCTTCTTACTGACAGAGTCCAGAGCAACATAGAATATAGAGTGTCACTTGGCAAGTAACAAGGAATGCACATGTATGTCTTCTTGTCTCTGTCCCTCTTCTTTATAGTCACAAGGCTCCATGATGACCTCATCCCTGAATCATTTTCTAAAAACCCAACCTCAGAACACCATAGTTAGATTTATTAATCCAACCTTTTAATAACCCATAATGAAGATTAAACCTCAGCATGAGGGGATAAGCTATATTCAAACCATAGAAAACAATTTCTCTATATCTTTGAGAGGGAAATGAGCAGAAACCATGCCACTCATATTTTTTTTAATTGGCATTAACTTAATAGTAAGGAGGGATTTCATTGTGTTGTTTCCATATGTATATACAATGTACTTTGATCAAATTCATTCCTTCTATTACTCTTTCTTAACCTCCTTCCTCCACCCATACTTTAATATTTTCTAGTGGGTTTTATTACACGATTTTCATACATGTATATTATGTACCACAATCATATTCACCCTTTGTGGCCCTGTATTTTACCCCTTCTCCCCTTTGGTTACCCCTAAATAAGTTTCCATTTTATAATAATTTAATTATTTTTAGGTCCAGATTATTCATATTAACCAGAACATGTGGCATTTGGCTTTTTGAGCTTGGCTTATCTTGTTCAACAAGATAATCTCTAGTTCTATGCTTTTCCCTGCAAATGACATAATTTCATCCCTGTTTATGTCTGTATAACACTCCATGTATATTTATACCACTTTTTTAATTCATTCACAGGTTCTTGGGCATGTAGATCAACTCCATACCTTGATTATAATAAATAGTGTTGAAATAAACATAAATGGGCAGATATCTCTGTTGTATGCTGATCTAAATTCTGTTAGATGTATGCCAAGCTGTGAGATAGCAGGATTATATGGTAGTTCCATTT